CATATGAGGCCCCTCGTGGAACGTAAGGAGAATTAGAGACGGAGTGAACGCCGCGTTGGGTGCATCACCTATAATGCATCCAGAGGTCTCGCGAGAGATGCCTATCGAGGTCCTTCAGCTACTTTCGACTGGGGAAGAGTCCTTGTCTGGAAACGCATTCCTCAGGTAGCCCGCCTCGGACCTCGGCCGGCCGCCCACAGGGGGGCGAGCCGGATTGTCAAGTCATTCTGTGTCGGAATTTAGTTAATTCTGGAACTAAATTTATTCGCCTGGAAATCAACTTCAGAATCGATTTCGAGTGTCCCGACCATGAGGCCTTGGTGTCACTTCCGAGCCCAGCGTTGGTTCGAATGCACTGTGAAAACAGTACGGAAGCGGAAGACCTACTACCCCTGTCTATGGCCCCTCTATGACTCGTTTCGCGGTAGCTCGACCATGTAGCGACATCAGCCGCTTTAGTGGGGCCTTACTCTACACGTGCACAGCAGACCGTGAAGAGCCTGGTATCGGACGATCTACTCGAGGAAGTCATCGGGGCCATTTTCGTGGCGACCTCTGGGCTGCCCCTACACTATCGACGCAGAGGAGGCCGCTGGACGAGCGTAAGCCGTAGGTGGGATAGGTCTATATGTAATGCCACTATTCTATGGAGTAACTCAAGGCCTAGTAGCTAGTAGCCTCTCCTCTACATATCACAATATTGGCTATGCTCTTTTAAACCTCGCATGAAATTTTAAATTTCCTCCCTTTTTTGTGCAGCATCGCAGTGGCTCGGTTGTGATGGTCATTGTCATCGTCGTTAGGCTTTGAGTAAATGGCAACAACCTTTCTAGGTTCCTCTTTTCTGGAGGCCCCATTGCCTCCGCCTGGCGAACTACTCCTCATGATAGACGATCTGGTGTAACGTTTCGATCTGGACAGCAGCTGTGATAGCGCTCTACGTTGCAGCGCTAGTGCGCAAGGGTGCACCGACATGCTCAGCCGTCCGCTCTTTACAGCTCGACCGAGCCGTCAATCCATCCGCCCGCGTTATGACGGAGCTCAGCAAGACTGGGACCCTCATCCATGGTCCTGAAGGCAGCAAGCCCTCCAAGAGCGGCATCATTACTTGGCTGGACCGCATCACAGACCGGGATAGACCTCGGGCCATATCAGAGCTGAGCGTGGCAATGATTATGGTTATGATAGACGAGTTATGTGAGGAATATGGTCTTGACTATTCGTATCAGAAGACGCCGAAGTTCGCGGTGCCTTGTATAGAGGTAGCGACAGGCGTCTACAGCATGTCGAGTCGACATGCTGTAGACGCCGACATTGTCGACCAGGGACCATGTGGTTCTTAAAACCCGTCACCATTCGAGTGCTTTTGTCATGAAGGAGCTCAGAGGGAAGACCGTTACTCACGGCAGGCCTCCTGCATCAATGCAGGAACCGCCTCAGCCGGGAAGGCTACTCCCTCGCCCCTTGCCCGCTCGGGGTAGGTCTCGGAGCCCTCGAAGACCACGACGACCATCCACAGGTTTTGATGTTGCCGACTCGATGGGAGACGATCGGTTTGATCCTGAGCCCAGTGATAGGTTCCCGATAAGAGGACCTCCGCCATCCCCGTACCTTATTCAGTCGACCGGGCCTCATTCAGCCAAGGGTAAGGGTAAGGGGTCACCGACCATGACGGTCCCGGGGAGCCCATACGGGATGCGTGGTCCTTCTCCTTCGCCTTCTCCTCGTTGGCCCAGTAGGCGCTGGGGTTAGAGGGCAGCAAATTTGAGTATAGAATTTTCAGTTTTCCTGTGGTGTTTCTCTGACGTAGTGTCGAGTTCGAACTTGAGGATCTCTCATTGTGTTCATCATGTGTTTCAGAGGCCGACCGTCCATTGTTGTTGTTTCCATCACTTATCGCCTCCCTCTGTCTTCTCGCGAAATGGTGACCCAGTTTACGACGGAGCCACCAACAAACTACTATCAATACGCGAACGAGACGCCGCCCGCTGGTTCCCTTTTAGTGGCTATAGACGAGTTCGTAGACAGGTACCAGATTGGTCAGACCGGCGACGATATGCTGAGGTAGTTCTAACATAACACAGCTTCATCCTACGCGCAGTCCAGGTGCTCTATTCCCGCTCACTCGTGTTGGGAACTTGTCCTTTCCGATCATTCAAGTCTTACCGATCTGGACGCAGCCCAAAACGCTACCGGTCGACTCGTTTCCGAACTCTCCGCGAACAAGTACGAAGCAGTGGAGTAATTTCGTGGCGCGCGACGTTTTGGCAACTTTTTCAGAGTCCTAATGCACGGCACTGGTGGCAACAAATCGCCTAAGCAAGGCTTCGTCCCTTGGCTGAAAGAGATCTCTGATGTACGCAAGCCGCGACTAGCGCTCACTTTACGCGTACCGTACCTTTTCGAACTTGTTGTTTTCATTTCAGCGAGACCGCGGTCGCGCAATGGCAGACATGAGTGTGGTTATGATAATGGTCATGATCGACGAGTTCTGCCAAGAA